CCGATGGGTGCATGGCTTCACTCACGAGCAGACTCGCCGCCAGTCGGCCTCGTGCCACTGGGACATGCAGCTCAAGCGCGTCTCGTTCGCCAGCCTCCTGCAGGCACTCCGCCAGGGCAAGGAGCAACGGCTGCGGCTCTCACAGCACCTCGGCGTGTATGCCAGCATTCCCCTGCGAAACCTCTTTGCCCGGACCTTCAAGTGCTGGGGGTCCTGGGCGCTGGTGCAGAGGGGGCTGAGGGACAAGAGCGAGGCGCTCGGGCAGAGATACCAACGGCAGCTCACCAAGACGTATGTAAGGGGCGGGGCGGGGATGCATGTGGCATGATTGGATGTGGCTGATTTGTGTATGTATCTATCCCAGGAAGAGGCAGGTGCGCAGAAAGAATTGCAGCGCCGGGCAGCAGCAGCGGCGGCCCCAGGTGCAGCACTGGGTCAAGAAGGCCGCGGGAGCCGCCGTTGCAACACCAGGAGGGGGAAGGGATGACGGCATGTGTCGTCGTGGCGGTGGTCGGCCGCCGCAACCCGACCAACACGTTCAGGTGAGTCAGTCAGTCAGTCAGTCATCACACGCACCAACCATTTTCTCTGTCCATGTGTCTGTTGGTTGGTGTCAATGTGTTGTTGGCTGCCTGCCTGCCTGCCTGCCTGCCTGCAGGAAGGGCCTCCGACAAGACGGCTGCGGCTGGACAAGGAGGCCGCCAAGAGGTTCCTTACATTTCACCTCCCCGAACTGAGGTAAGGAAGGCGACACACACACATAACGTATGTATGTCTGTATGCCTTGGTCAATCCACATAAATTATCTCTCTGACATTTGTGCGTGTCACTCACTGGTTTAGGAAAAGGGACCCCGTAGCCCCCATCGACACGCACACACACTCGACCTCACCCCCCTCCCCTCCCCGGGCCCCACTGCCCTCTGCCCCGCCCCGCCGCCCATTAGCATTCTCGGAGACGGCGGCACGGGGCAACTAGTCCATCGCTGCCCCCCTCCCTCCGCCACTCCCCCTCCTCGCCCTCCTCACCCGTGCTCATCGGCCTGTCGCTCTCGGACCGCCTCTCCAAGACAGTCATCAACACACTCGCTGACTTCGTCTTGGTCTATCTGCCTGTGTGGGTGACTCACCTGGAGCGTCAGGTGAGGGCACGTATTGACGGACGTGTGTGTGTATGACTCTGTGATGATATCGGGGGGTCTCTCAGTGCTCATCGGTGTGACCTTCTGGCATGTGCGCATCGACAGACCCGTGCTGTACGTACCATCTGTCAGCCGCCCTGATGATCAACATGCCCATCAAGCTGACGGCCCTGTCCAACGTGTCGCTGCTGATGGAGCAGCGCGGTCACTTCTTCACCGAGAGCGGCGACGGCTGGTACTCCCCCCTCCCCTACATCGCGGCTGGTACTCCCTCACATATTGCCGCTGGTGGACAACACGCTGCTGTGTGATATGCTGGGCGTGTCTGGCCTTCGAGTGGACTCAGCTGTGCTGTGTTGTGTTGGCGGGGGAGGGACTCTGGGTAGTGTATGTATGTATGTATGTACTTGCTTTTTGGGGTGACTATACTATGTGATGTGTAGTCAGTGTGTGTAC